GAGGCAAACACACAGATACGTGGTTCCGTTAGGGAGGCAGGATCCTAACCTAGAACCTCGTCCCCTGTGGCTACAACGATGGCCGGTGTAATGGGCCTCCCGTCCCGCTGGGCCTGGTGAGCGTAGTGAGTGATGGGTGTGGGGCGTCCCGCCCTGTGACTTCTGTGAAAGGTCCACTCATTCCACCAGCACCCGTCCCGTTAGGAGTCCAGCCCGGGACCTGTCCGTGGAGCAGTCACCGGGCCCAGGGCTTCTCAGTGGCAAGGACAGGCGCTCCGTCCTGTCTGTGGTGACGCCGTGTCTCAGACCCGGTCCAACTGCAGGACCTCCATTCTCCTACTCAGATGACAGAGTCAAGGGCGCCGTGTGCCCATCAGGCCAGGTCCCCTCCGGAAGCCGAGAATCCCAGCGCCCAGTTCCCGTGCCTGCCCCGTGGCCCTCGGGGAGGGGGGGGACCGGGACAGGTGGCCGGGAGCTGCCCGTAACGTCCATCCTGACGCTGCTTGAGTGTCAGGCCGCGTTTCTATGAACGAGGCGCTGAAAGGGGGGTGTTTTGTCCAAAAGGAGGCTGGGCCTGGCTGGTTTGGGATAGAGCATCGGTCTGCGGACTGAAGGGTCCCAGGCTCCATTCCCAGTCAGGGCACATGCATGGGTTGCAGGCTTCTTCCCCAGTAGGGGGCGTGCAGGAGGCAGCCGATCCATCATCCTCTCTCATCATGGATGCTTCTCTCTCTCTCTCCCTCTCCCTTCCTCTCTGAAATCATAAAAATATATTTAACAAATAGAAACAGATAGAACGGAGGATGGGCGTAGGTCGGACGGACACGGTTTGCCCGCTGACGTGGCTGGTTAGGTCAGCGCCTGTGTGCGAGGCGCCCACACTCTGGGTGTCACGGAGGCCAGTTTCCGAGTGTCGTGTGGACTCTTGCAGGGGACTCCGTGCGGTACCTCTGCCACCCCGGCTACACGCTGTCGGGCTCGGACACGCTCACCTGCAAGCTCGGCGCCCAGCTGCAGTTCCAGGGTTCGCTCCCCACGTGTGAAGGTACGTGAGCGAGGCCACGCGTCCGCGTCCCACGTGGAACACACTCCCTGTGTGGGGGGGCTTCTGTGTGTGGGTCTGACCTTGCCCGTCCTCCTTGCCCTGAGCCCCTGCAGTCACAGTCCCCGCGCTCAGACACCGCCCCGGCCTCTCTTGGCGCCAGAACTGAAAACCACAGCAGCCAAGAGGTCTCGCTGTGCCCCCGGCAGGTTGTGGGTGAGGGGGGAGGTTTCAAACATACGGCAGCGCTGAAAGCAGTAAAGTGAGACCCGAACACCAGGCCCGGGTGCCCCAGCCGTGTTCACCGGGAATCCGTGTCCCGTGTCCGTTTCCTTCCATCCGTCTCTTCCTCTCCTGAGATTTCTGACGCATTTCAAGGCTGATGGGAGGCAGCGCTCTGCGTCTCTGTCCTCCCGCCGTGTGTCCCCAACCAGCTGGGCTGACCATTTGTTTCTGTAACGTCAGTGAACGCACCCGTTTCTCTCTGTGACAGGCCTTTAAAGGCATGGACCAGGCACAGGGGCAGAGACAACACACAACAGCAGAGCAAGGGCTGAGGCTGAATGGATGGGTTCAGGGGGTGTGAATATCATCAGATCAGGTTCACAGTGTCCTTTAAAAGACATTATAGGAAGAAGGAGGACTTGGAACAATGTAAATAAGTAAAAGGGCCCGACACATGCGGGAGAAGTGCTGCTCTGCCGGCCTAGGCGCTGGCTGGCCCGGGGGCTCCGCTGGTGGGAGCGTCGTCCCGCACACCAAAAGGCTTCAGGTTCGACCCCCACTTTGGGCTTGTAGGAAAGGCAACCAATACTTCTCTCTCTCTCTCTCCCCCCCCTTCCTCTATCTCTAAAAAAAAAAAAAAAAAAAAAAACCCAACCATGGTTCAGCCCTAGCTGGTTTGGCTCAGTGGATAGAGCATTGGCCTGCGGACTGAAGGGCATATGCCCGGGTTGCGGGCTCAATCCCAGTGGGGGGTGTTCAGGAAGCAGCCGATCCATAATTCTCTCTCATCATGAATGTTTCTTTCTCTCTCTCTCTCTCCCTCTCCCTTCCTCTCTGAAATCAATAAAAATGTATTTTTTAAAAATGCAAAAAACAAAAAAGCTCAGCTAAAGTAAATTGCATTTTATGATTTCACATCAGGGGGCACATGGGTCCCTTTAAGGAACGGAGGCTCCTTTCACGCCTCGGAGGCTGGGCTCCTGGGGGACCCTGCACCTGAGGGCCCAGGTTCTGGGGGAGCCGGGTCTCAGCCCAGACGGCTCCTCGGCCTCCGGCAAGTCCCGAGGCCCGAGCCCGAGCGAGGGACCACTTCCCTGCGAGTGTCTGGGATTGGCCTGGCCACGCAGGGGTCGAGCGTGAGCTCTCCTGTGCGTGTCCTGTGAGGTTAGGATCTCCCCTGTGAAAGCCCCCCCACGTGGTGCAACGGTGTTGAGTGCAAGGCCCCCCTTGAATGGAGGCCCTCGGTGTCCACTGCCTCTGCTCATTCTCATCGCAAGCGTGGCAGCACCCCTCACCCAAGAGACAGGTGCTCAACATCTGACAGCATCTGGCAGGGCTGTGACTCACGAACCGCGCCAACTTAGATGATTCTGAGGACAAGTTTACTTTCAAATTGTGCGGACGTGAGAGCCGTGGGGTGTGGGAATCTCCGGGCGAGCAGGGAGCAGCCCTTGGGCCACTATCCCCCTTCAATGCCCGTGGGACGGGGCAGGTGTGGGGGCAGGGACACCACCCCCTGCCCCCCCTGGACGTGGGGTCCCTGGGGGCGCTGAGGCAGGAGACCGAGGCGTCATTATCTTGGGAAAATAAGTCGGGGCCGCCTTCCAGCAGCCACAGTGACCTTGAGGGCCTTTCCCCAAGGTGTGGGGTCAGGTGTCAAACGCGCTTTTAATAGAAAAGCTAACTGGGGCGATTCTTCACATTTTAATCTGGACAGAGGCAGCCATATGGCTCACATAGAGGACCCTGAGCAAACACTGCCTCCCGTGGTGAGAGGAGGCGCCCCTGTTTGTTCAGGGACGACTTCAAAGACAGAGAAGCGCCTTCATGCTGTTGCCTCCCCGCAAGTCGGGCCTCGTTTAAATCTGAGTGAGATTAGTTCACAGGGACCCAGGGGCAGAGCAAATGGACGCCTCGCTTGTGGCCATGTACGCTGAGTGGCTTCGCTGTCACACACATTTTGGGGCAGCATCTGCCAGTGAGATGGGCTCTGTGGATGCGCCTGAGGTCCCTGCCCTCTGCCCCGAGCAGGGCGCTCAGCTCCGGCTCTCCTGTCCCGTTCAGCAGGCGTCTCTGGGAGGAGCGGGGAGATAGCCTGGCTGTGCTTCCCGACGCGCCTTGTTCCAAAGGGAGCTCGAGCTCAGGTGCCTGGACCAGGGACTGAGCCCCGACTGTGCCTTCTCGCTGTGGGATGGACGTTACTGGGCTTGCGGGGGCTGGTCCCCCAGGACATTCTTGGCGAAGACTCTCCTGGCCCCGAGCTGCCTGGGAAGACCCCAGCCCCTCAGGCGCTCGCTGTGGCCCTGGCCTCTGGGCGGGGAGGGGGTAGCCCCCAGGGAGCACAGGTGACAGGTGGGTCCTGGGGGCCGAGCACCCTCTGTGGGGGGTGTGACCTGGTTGGACACTTGTCTTCATTTAGACCTGAATGGGGGCCGGGAGGCCTGACACCAGCAGGCAGTGCCTTGGCATCTCTCGCACCCGCGGGCCCTGCAGCTGGACCCAGTCCTGACCCTCTCCCTGGAGACCCCAGGGACGGCCTCCGGTCCCTCAGGCCAGGGCCCCTACTTACTTATTTATTCTTATTCATTTTTAATTTAAAAATGTATTTTCATTGATTTCAGAGAGGAAGGGAGAGGGAGGGAGAGATAGAAACCCCCATGATGAGAGAGAATCATGGATCGGCTGCCTCCTGCACGCCCCACACGGGATGGAGCTCACAACCTGAGCATGTGCCCTGACCGGGAATCAAACTGTGACCTCCTGATTCATAGGTCGACGCTCAACCACTGAGCCACGCCGGCCGGGCGAGGTCTCGCTTTTTAGTTGAGGGAGGGAAGCGTGGGATGCTGGGTGGACCCCCCACACCTGCCCTGGGTTAGGGTGTGGGGGGTTCGGTCTCCATGAGGGAGACACGGCAAGGCAGTAGCTGCTCCCACATCACTCCGGCTCCACTCCAGGACAGGGCAGGGCTAGACTTCCGGTCCACCTGGCCCAGGTAAAGAGGACTTCCTGGCTCAGTATTTCCTCTCCATTTGGCAACCGCGTCAGATTTGGCAGCCCTGGGTCGGGTCAATGACTTGGCCGCCTTGAGCCTGGAGTTAAATAGGACCTGTGCACCCTCCTCCTGCCATCATCCTTCTTCCTGTCTATCATCTGCCCATGTCATCTGTCTAAGCGCCCTGTGTGTCAGCATGTCATACATGTACAGTTCTCTTACATGTTGTACACATATGATTCTCTTAGTGCCACACATGCATCATTCTCTTATGTCATATACGTATCATTCCCTTGCATGTCATGCATGAACCATTATCTTATGTCATATGTGCATCATTCTCTTATGCCACACATGTATCATTCTCTTATATGCCATACATGTATGAATCTCTTATAGGCCATACATGTATCATTCTCTTATGTCATGCATGCATCATTCTCTTACATGTCATATGTGCATCATTCTGTCCTGGGTGGCAGGGCGATGTTACAGTGTTACTACTGTTGGTCAGGGCTGGTCCCCTGCCGTGTGCCCCGCCTTCCCTGGGTCAGAGCGCAGTGGGAACGCCTCTCCCTCCCTGGCCTCGTACACGCAGGGAGGATGCTGACCTACTGAGCGTTCCCTTTGTTAAGGAGAACTTTCCGTCCCTCCTCAGCCCAATGCCCGGCCAATGAGGTCCGCACAGAGTCCTCGGGGGTCATCCTGAGCCCGGGTTACCCCGGCAACTACTTCAACTCGCAGACCTGCTCCTGGACCATCCGCGTGGAGCCCCGCTACAACATCACCCTCTTCGTGGACAGCTTCCAGAGCGAGAAGCAGTTCGATGCCCTGGAGGTGTTTGATGGTAGGTTTCTCCTCGTGGTTCCTGTGCCGCTCACCTCTGCCTGGTGTGCCAGCAGCACCCTCGCCAGGTTTCTGTCTCACAAGAACGTGATATATTATCGAGTTAAACTACACGTCCCCGAACAGGCAATGGGTTCCTCTTGCGCTGTGCAATCTCGGACCCGGTGCCCATAAACCATGAACATCTGTCCACGTCCCAGCTGTCACACAATTAGAAACCTGGCGATACCCTGCGATGTGCTGACGACGCTTTAACCATTCTCCACGTGGGGATTCGGGGCAGATGCCCTCGCACAGCTCCTCCTTTCTCGCTAAGAAGTATGTTCATTCAGAAGATCTTTCAGGAAGTTTAAGATTTAGGAAATAAAGGTGCTCAATCCGATGTAAATGACGATTTCACTAGAAATATATAAATATAATGGCTCACAGATTTCTAGATGATAAATGCTGCAGGAGTCTTCAATAAACAGTTTTCTAAATTAGTCTTATATATTTTTATAGAATTCTAAGAAACTTCTTAAAAATCCTCACCTGAGGACATGCATTTCATTGATTCAAGAGGGAGAGGAAGAGAGAAGGAGAGAGAGAGAGAGAGAGAGGAACATCAATCGGTTGCCTCCCATGCGCACCCAGACCCGGGATCAAGCCCATAGCCTGGGCATGTGCCCTGATCGGGGATACACTGTGACCCCTCAGTGTAAGGGCTGATCCCCTAACCATTGTGCCACCCCGGCCAGGGCTCTAATAGACTTTTTTTTATTGATTTTTATTACTTTGTTTTTTTTCTTTTTTTAAATTGATTTTTAGAGCGAGAGGAAGGGAGAGGGATAGAGAGATGGGAACATCGACTGAAAGAGAAACATCATTAATCGGCTGCCTCCTGCACACCCCACACTGGGGATTGAGCTCACAACCTGGGCATGTGCCCTGATCGGGAATCGAACCCACGATCTCTCGGTTCCTGGGTCGATGCTCAGCCACTGAGCCACGCCGGCCGGGCTGACAGAGTTTTTAGTAGAACAGTGCGATGCTTGGAGTGAAAGTGTGGCTGAATCGTCAATTTGGACTGAAACCGATGTTAATAATTTTATCGTACCCCAGGAAATTAGACCAGCATAGAATTATGGCTGCACATAATAATAGGGTTTTCACATGTTCTGAAAAATTTGTCATTACGTTCTGGTAAATAATCAATTCAGTGAACATAAATTTACTGTAATTGATTCCGATTCATTCTATGGGTGTTCATATGCCTTTTACTGGCTGATGAACAGTAATGACCGAATTGCTCAGATGGATGGATAGCACATGAATTAGCGTATGAATTGCCAAGATGAAGTGCTAACTTGGAAATTAAATTTACACGCGTACACACAGAAACGAGTATTTCCATTTTCAGAGGTGTTTCCTTGAATGTGCAGTAGTCCCCCCTTATCCACCTTTTCAATTACCCACTGACAACTGTGGTCCAAAAATATTAAACGGAAAATTCTAGAAACGGTTGGTAAGTTTTAAGTTGCGCTCTGCTCACAGTGGCGTGATGGAATCTCAGGGTCCTCCTCAGCCCCTGGGACGTGCGCATCCTCTGCCCAGCGGCTCCCTGTGGCCCAGCCTCCCTGCCGGCGACCAGCCCTGGTCCTGGGCTCTTGGGCTGCGCCCCGTCACCGTTCCTTCACTCAATGACGGTCCCGCAGCGCAAGGCGGTGAAGCTGCGGTTCAGGGGTGCCAGCGCGGAGCCCGGGTCCTCCCTGCAAGCGGAAAGGGGGGAAGTACAGGGAAAAGCATAGGAATGCGGGTCCGGCACTGCCCGTGGTCTCAGGGCCCACGGGGCTGTGTGCTGTGTACCCCGGTGACTGCTGCTTTAAAGATGGGCTCCCTGTGATTGCAGTGTGAGGGTGTGGAGAGCACACCCTGGAATCGCTCCGGTGGCCGTGCCTTCGTCTCGGGGAAGCACCTGCTGCTGTTTTCACCAGGAATGTTTCCCCCTCCGTGGGAGGAGCCAGCTCTGTGTGGAACGTGTAGAGCCCATGGGACACGGATGACAGCATCCGTGTTCGGCCGTGTTCAACAGGCGCCGTGTTCGGCAGGTGCGTGTCAGCGTCTGTGTGTCTGTTTCACAGGCTCTTCCGGGCAGAGCCCGCTGCTAGTGGTGCTGAGCGGGAACCACACGGAGCAGGCGCATTTCACCAGCAGGGGCAACCAGCTGTTCCTGCGCTGGTCCACCGACCACGCCACCAGCAAGAAGGGCTTCAAGATCCGCTACTCAGGTGAGCGGGAGACGGCGACTGCGTGGACAGGGTTTTCCACGCGAGTGATCGCATTCCATTCAAATTACACAGCCCGGCCGGCGGCTCAGGGGCTGAGCGTCCACCTATGAGCCAGGAGGTCACGGTTCCATTCCCTGTCAGGGCGCATGCCCAGGGTTTCCGGCTCCATCCCCAGGAGGGGGCGTGCAGGAGGCATCCGATCCATGACTCTCTCTCATCATGGATGTTTCTTGCTCTCTCCCTCTTCCTTCCTCTCTGAAATCCATAAATATATTAAAGAAAAAGAAATAGGTAGACAGAAGCCTGATTTCTGAAGATGAATAGTGAACTTCAATAGGAATGATGTGAGGGGAATGCTGAGTGATTCTCCAAGTGAATTTAGGGAAAATAAACTGCCTGTGGGTTAACGATTTAAAACGATGTTGCTCACATCCTGAACCACTGAGCCCGTATCATGGAAAGCAGACATTTCCCCAAAGATAAAATTCTATCAGTTAACCTATTAATTACCTATCAATTAAGCTATGTTTAGATGCTAAGGGAACAATCAGGAAGATATGATCACGATGCTGTTAACTTCACAAGTGATCCTGTGGTGAGAGCAGGTGTGGTTTCCTCAGAAACCGCCCACCGGCCCTCCGTGGGGGGCGGTCCCCTGTGACCCCCACCCCACAGTGAGTGTGGTTCCTGCTCCCCGCGTGCTCTGGGCACGGGTGTTGGGGGTACATTTCAGAGCCGGTTACACACTGCAACTGATTTCTTGTTATCCGAACAGCAGAGCTGTCCCCGACATCATCTAAGCAGGGAGATGGCGGCTCACTTACGCTTGTCTGTCTGTCTGCATGTCTGTGTCTGTCTGTCTGTCTGTGTGTGTGTGTCTGTCTGCCTGCAGCCCCTTACTGCAGCCTGACCCACACGCCGAGGAACGGCGGCGTCTTGAACAGGACGGCGGGGGCGCTGGGCAGCACCGTGCACTACTCCTGCCAGCCCGGGCACCGCCTGGTGGGCCGCGGCAACGCCACGTGCACCCGGAACCCCGTGGGCATGTTCCAGTGGGACGCCCTCCCGCCGCTGTGCCAGGGTAAGATGGTGTCCCTCCCCCCTGAACCCCTCACTGCGATCGCGCTGACAGGGAAGGAGCCGGGGCTGGGCTGAAAGGGGAGGCACCTGAGCGGGCCCAGAAGCGCAGGTCAGCTCTCAGGGCCGTGCACAGTCCTGGCCTTTATGCGGCTTCATCGCACCTCATCTGGAGTCAGAGGGCGGCGGGCAGGCACAGGGCCGGAGGTCATTCTAACACTCACTGTGGTTCATTGCAGACTGAAAAGTGCGTTTGCTCATTTAGGTTCCAAGTAAGTTTTTTATAGTTGAAGTCATTTAAAAAGCCAACTCCGAATGCTGACTTTCCTTCTTTTAGGTTAAAACTCATTCTGGGAGCCGTATGCTGTGGATTCGTTTTCTTTTGGTCGCTCACATCTACGGCTTGTTAAAGTCGATTTCAATATTTTACGCCTTTTTTTGTATTTTTTTCTGTCAAACGCATAAAAGCCAGATTTTCAAAGGCGGCATTTTAATTTTTAATTGAGGTCTTTGAAGTCATGAAGTGTTCGGAGTTTTGTCTGATTGAGGTTTATATTCGTAAGGAGATGTGTTGGCCTCTGAGAGCTGATTATGATTTATAAATAGAGCCTCCCGCTGGTTCCCTCTCTCTCTCCTCCCTGGGATGCGAGCTTTTCTGGCTGCACAGGGGCCAGTGGCTGCACGCATCTCCCTCAGAGCTCCGCCCCTGGCTCCGTGCTC